TTATGTTCTTGGAACTCTGTTGTTCTGATTCATATTTCTAGAAAAAGTGAACAGCTTTTCTTACTTTGGTTCATTTAAAACAATATTATTTGCAAAGTTCTGTGAGAAAGTCTTGAAAAGGTCATAACCCTCTCAAGTAGTTTGGGCCTCAGACAGCTGCAGGCTGCTTTGCCACCTTCCGTGGCCTATTCCTCTACGGGTATCTGCAGTATTTTAGTCTTACATAGCAATTTCAAAAGCAGTTTAATTGAAAATTTGAACTTATTTTATCCATTGCAGGCATGTTACATGGAGTTGGGAAATTTATAGTGGAAATAATTTGCTGTCGTTTCAGACTTGGATCCTACAGGCCCGTCCATTCTGTAAGTGACACAAGTGGTGCTGGCTCTAAGTCATGCTGCCAGCGTCAGTCTAAATAGAAAGGGCCGCCCCTGAGAGCCTCGTGATCTGAGATGTAGAGAGTGGAACTAATTCTCTGGTCTTCTCTCTGCTTCCCCCTTAGGTCCCCTTTGAAGATGGCCACACAGACAACCACTTACCTCTTTTAGAAAATAATACACATTAGCACCTCCTGGGTGGAGAAAAACTTTTTGCCTGAAACATAAAACCTTTTCTAATAATAAAATGTTGTGCAATATATTCAAAGAAAAGAAAATATGAGAACCTGGAAACATACTTATTTAAAAAAAGAAAAAAAGAAAAAAAAAAACAGCCAAGGATAAAAACAAAGCGAAGTTGTCCTATACATGTGTGCCTGTTACAAATGTCCTAGAAGAAATCATGCAGCTAACTGGAGAGGCCACCCAGCCAGAGTGCCAGGCGAAGACGGCAAACGGACAGCACGGAGAACAGTAGAGGATGACGTGAGACTGCATTTACAGAAAAGGCATCATACATGCAAATGTGTGCGTCCTTTTGTTTTTAAAGATGTCAGAATAAAATGTGTAAAACATATGGAAACTAGTCTAGACTTTAAAAAACTGTAATCAGCTCCCATGGTTAATAAAGGAAGCAGGGACTGGCCCTGTGTTACAGCCATATTAGTGCTAAGCCATATTGACAAGACCATGGGGTGTCCAGCACTGGGTTCTGATGGAGGTGTCTGCTTTCCTCTGAACTCCAGTTGGTGACTTTCCTGACTGTTAACGCTTGATTCTTAGAAGATGAAGGTGAAGTTTCTTTCCCAAGGGCAGGTGTGTAAGTGCTATGGAATGTGACAGGTGTCACTCACAGCTTGTACATGGGACGCTGCGGGGAGAGGAAAGGACAGTGTAAAACCATAAAAGTCACTACTAATTTGTGAACTATTGAGGGAGACAGGATAGCTAACACATGGGTGAGGCAGTGTCAGGTCTGAGCAGCACAGGCACATCAGTAAGCCTGGACCAGGGAGCTCTGGGAAGAACTGACCAGGCTCAGATAACTAGAGGGAGCCCTGTCAGGTACTGTTAAAAACTGCCGAATTTGTGTGCCAGCCGGTCTCCTCTCGTGGTTCTTAATGGCAGAAGCATCAGTTCATCTCCAGAGACTAAATTTTTGAGAGAGAAGACTGGGTTTCCAGTTCCTGTCAGACATAAGACCACACAGACAACGGTGGCTTGGAGTGTGGTCTGTCACAAATTACTGTGTATTTGAGTGAATGTTTTTACAGATGTAAAAACAGTCTATTGAAAGAGGGTAGGCAGTCAGGTAGGGAGGAGATAGCAGCAGAGCATTCAGCAGTGAGGTGGATGAAAAGTGGCCATTATGTAGAAAACCAGAATTTTTGATTTAAATGCACAGTATTAAGAGTTAAGAGGTTAACTGATTAATAATGTAATAATGTTTTTCAATTTTTTAAAAACAATCCAGGAAATTTCAACTAATGAGTGAGTCTTCTCTGAGGTTTTTGTTTCTTTGTGGCTGTTTGGTTGGTCTTTGTTTTTCCCCTTAGGTCTTATAGCTGGACTAGAAGCAGGACATCTCTCCAGAAGAATCACTAGCGAGAACTGGAATGTTGGCATTTGAGACTGAACGCTGTTTTTTCATGTCTACTGCTAGAAAATACAGTCAGGCTTCAGGAAAGAAAATACTGATTTAGAATTGCCTTCAGTATTACAATGTCTTTAGAAGATTTTAAATTATTTTTAATTTTTCCATGGTTTCTAAGTGCCACGTTAAAATCTTATCTTATTGAGTTGTATCTTTTCCATTAAAGTTGACTCTAAGGGAATTTGTTTAAAGCAACATTTTCTTGGCATTGATTTCCATTTTAAAAATTAAGACTTTAATTTTCAAATGGTCAGGGCCATGTTTTTTGTCAGTAAAGAAATGAAAATTCTGGCCATCTGTTTGGGTGATGAAGGCAACTGCGACCAGGATTTGTGGAGAGAGCTTTGGCCTTACCAGGGTTTTCATTCCAGGTCAGAAATCCCTGACTGCTTGTCAGTTACACAGCTTTTCCTGTGCCTGTGATCCCTAGAGCGAGGACACCTGAGTGTCTGCTCGGTACCGTCGTGTGTGTTCCAGTCCTAACATTTTAAGTCTGAGGTCTCCTTTACTTGAAATGTATTTTTTATACTATGTTTGTATTTGTATACCTTGACTGTAAAGACAGAAAATAACTAGGTAAATAAATTACTGTCAAGTGTTGAAATCCTTGACTACCTCCTGAGATAGCCCGGCTCCATATTAGAATGGCAGATCCACTTGTTCTTTTACTTAGGTGAGTACTGGACACTTTTTGAAAAGCTATTTCATTATAGTCAGAATTTATCATCTGAAACAACTTAGTCTTAACTTTGAAATGCACATAAGAAGAAATATTTTGATTTTGATAAATGTGTTATAATTCAAATGCCAGGAAGTAAATTTACATGTAAGTCCTTTATTTCAAAATTCTGTTTATACTTGTACTCTAGATACTTTTTTTTTTTTTTGTGGTCTAAGAAATACTTGATCCAAACCTTGAGATCCTTAAAAATTCAGCATGCCATTTAATCTTGCGGCTTCTCTTCTTGTTTAAGCTTCTCAGATCCTTTAAAACACTGCCAGGATAATGATGGAGCCTAATGTGGCATGCATCGGCCATTCTGGTGTGGCATGCATCTGCATCCTGGTATGACTGGCATGCATCTGCCATCTTGGTATGACTAGCATGCATTTGTAATCCCAGCCACTGGGGAAGTGGAGACAGGAACATCCCTGGGGCTTTCTGTCCAGCTAATCTTGCTGAATCAACAAGCTCCAGGTTCAGTGAGATGCTGTGTGAAAAAAATGAAAAATGACGGAGGAAGATGCCCTACATTGCCTGCCTGCCGTCACACACGGGAACATGCACATGTAAACATCACACACATGAGTGTCTGTGTACACAGTACTGTGGTTCATATGACTGGGTCTGTAGGCAGTTGACGAGATTACCATCAGTAAAGCACTAAGCGGGGTCTCCTAATGCTATTCTGAAGTCAGCTCTTCTGAGCATAACTCAAGAAGCAGAGAGATCCCTTTCCTACAGGTTTGATGGGAAAGCTGTGGAAGTTCTTTGGTCACTTGGGTAACTGGGTCCTGCATATTTTCAGCAACTGCTGTGCCACTGAGAAGTCCCTGCCTTCATCTGCTTTTTATTAAAATGATTTCTATCCTAGAGAGGATGGGTGCATGTTATTGTACTACATGTCTCTGACCCTCGAGTACTTAGTATTTCAGATAAAATAGGGAGATGCTAAAAACGTTCCATGCCAGAAGACACAGTTCTGCTTAAATTTAATTCCAGGTAAACACAGCTTGCCATAGAAGTGGCCACACTTTGTTATATAGTCTCCAAAACCCAGCCCTTGCTAGGTTTGTTTTACTAACTTTCAGCTATGCTTTTAAAACTGATTGTAGGCAGTGACTTTTTTTTTTTTTGGTTGTTTGTTTTTTAAACACTTCACTAAACATAAGGGACCACCACTAGCTGTCCTAAGACAGCTAGGGCCCTAGTTCCAGAAAAGGTAGCCATGTGAGGCCTGTGAACTTTTAAGACTTACTGATGATTTAGAAACTAGTGTTATAATCTAATGTGGTGGTTTCAGTAAGAATGTACCTTATAAATGCATATTTGAATGCTTAGTCACCAGGGAGTGGAACTGTTTGAAAGGCTTAGAAGGTGTGGCTTTGAAGGAGTGGTGTCAACAGGACAGGCTTTTTGAGGTTTCCAAAGCCCATTCCTCTCTGCCTGCAGACCAGGGTGTAGCCCTTAGGTTCTGCTCCTGCACCATGTTTCCTGTCATGATGATAATGGACTAAATCTCTGAAACTGGAAGTATAAAAGGAAGTATTAAATGGGGAGTCGCCTTGGTCATGGTGTCTCTTTACAACAAAAGAACAATGGCTAAGACAAATGCTATTTGGGAGTTCTCTGTTTACCTCAGTGTTGTAAATTATTTAACTGAGTTAGATGTGGTACTAGGTGAGTACAGGAGTGTGTGAAAGTGTTTTTCTGAAGTGTGTCAGCATTAGTTGCCTTAGTAGCTTTCTGATCACTGTCATCAAGTACCATGTGGGTACAGACTAGGCCAAGACATCCTGTTTGTATGTTCTCACTGGCCTGTATTAATAGAATAAAATATAATGGTTCATGTTGGCATTTTTTCACATGTATAGAAGACATTGTGGTTGTAATCAGCCCTCCCTTTTACCAGGACTTCTTTTCAAGCATATACCTTTATACTTTTAACTCTGCACCCAAGTAGATTATTTCCCCCTATTGCTGTGCATATGTTGGGATTCATGTAGTTAATTGGTCCTGAAGTGGATTTCTCAATGGTGGCAACTTTCACATAGTAACTTATTTTTCCTGTTTAAGCATTGCAAGATAAATTTGTTCCATGTGTCAGGTGCCTCAGAACACTCATGCAAATACAGCCACATTGGTGTGGCAAGAAAGATGGCATCAGCGTGTAGCTTATGTTTTTTTCCCTTTTCCTGGAGAAGGGTTATGGGAAGAGGTGGTCATCAGTTAAAGAACACTGAAAACAGTAATTCAGAATTTTATTTAATCAGAAGTTTAAACTAATATTCAATCCCTGGAGTTCTTGAAATGATGAAATTCAGTAGTGAGTTTTTAGAACTGTTTTTTAAATCCAGTGCTATATTTATTGTATCCATACCTGGTGTCTTTCATGTAACTCAGAAGCATCTTGCAGCTCTCTCAGACCGGACACCTACAGGTGGTTTGTTTTGACTTTTGTCTGGCTGGAGCGTAGTCCCTGACCTTAATCTGACTTGCAGGATCTGTACCAGAAAGGGCTCTCCAAACATGTTCCTCATGAGGCTGAGGAGACCTCAGTACTGGGCACGCTTGAGCCACCAGAATGTAAGCATACACATATTAAATATGTGTGTAGTTTTCAGAAATTTGTGTGACCGTTACTTTTTAGGTCCTAAATGCCTTATTTGAATATTTCATGTTTTTAGCATGCAGAGATCCTGCAATCCTGCATGTCCAGATCTCAAATATGAGCACACCTCGGGTGACGATTTATGAATATGAGGATTTGTGGATGTAGAAAGGTTTTTTATTTGTATTTAAAATATTTAAGCAAAAACTTCACTTTCTCTGTTTGAGTTCTGTGCACTCCATAGTTCCGTGTGTCTGGGGTGACTGAGGTACATCGGCCTCAGGGGCTACAGGAACTTGCTCTTTCCAGCTCCACACACAAAGACGAAAACTAGAACTTAAAATTTTATTTGAAATTTTGCTTTTCTTACTGGCAAAGGTTGGAGGGTTACCATGGTTCTGATCTAGGAATGTCCCTCTCCTCATAGCCTTCCTGACTGATGCCTGAGTGAAGTACACTTAAATAGGAGGGCTTTGGCAACATCAGCAAAGGAGGAGCGTGAGAGGGTTTCCAGGACAACGATGATCAGAATGCCTTAGGCTAAGGGATGTCAAAATTGTAAGAAGCTATAAACTTTGAAGTACTTCAGACTCCTGATGCATGTACAGTTAAATTCATATTTGGTATGTAGTTATCTACACTATTTGATCCTCTTAGGGTTAAGATGTGGACCCAGGTGAGAAACAGCAGACATTGAGCCTGCTTTCTCTACCTCCCACCCCTCAACTCAACCAGGACTCTAGTGTTTAAGATAGTGGGCTACTTCTATGGCACTGTGAGGGTGTTGAGCTGCCTTCCTCCGCTCACTGTGGTTGGAAGCTTTTGCCTTGGTACTGAGCATGCTTCCCTGATCGGTGCTGCCTAGGCTGCTTAGGCTTCTGCCATATGTTTGTCCATAGCTTCACAGTTGAAGTTAGTTGTGTCCGGAAGGGAAAGCTAAGTATAGGAAAAGGGGTGATCTCATGCTCTGTGTGTGATGTGTAGAGTGGTGGTGTTAAGACATACTTTGGAAGTTAGGTTTTTGTACATGTATGCAGTTAGAGGTTGACTTTCCTTCTCACTGAACCAAATTTAAAAAATACAGTGAAGAAGTAGGAGAGAAGATGGAACGGTAAGTTTGGCTGGAAGCTTGGGTGTGCTTCTTGTTACGTCCTAGTTTAAGACACAGTTTCCTGCCTGAGAGGTATCTGAGGTTCCAGATGACGGGCTGGTGGAATGTTCTTAGGCCTTGAGTGTGCTTGAGGCCCTGAAGTAGGAGATGAACTTATAACAGAAGCTCACAATGAAGAACCAGATGTTCCGAGCTATCTGAGACCTTGCAATGAGGAGGCGCCAGATGATCAGGAACAGGGCGGTGTTAAAGAGGTAGTGAATGTTTCGGAGCCTGAGGAACAGAAACAGAAGTGCAGTTAAGACAGCGCCTGCACACAGCTGTGTTACCTGAAGTGCAAATGTGTTCCTGTCTGTGACCAGCAAATACCTAGTTCTGGAGCCCAGCGATGACTTGCTGCCCTTGCTGGCCCTTTGTAGTGCCTTTCATTTTCTACTGAAAAATCGTGTGTTTTCTCATGTTTTGCTAGCTTGTTACTCTTCCTTCTATTTCTCTGTTTGGAGCTCTTCTTTTTACAAGCATGGTTCATAGGTGAATGTAGTATTTTCAAAATACACTCTGATCTTTCAATATCAAAAATCCTCTCTGGCTAGTGAATTGACTGAGTAAATGCATTTTTGGAGCTAGCCTGGAACTTGAGTTGGAACTTATGTCAGGGTCAAAGGGCAGAAGTTGACTGTGCAGAGTTGTCCTCTGACCTCCACATGCACATCTACACACAATGTACAAACACAGCTTGTAAAAGCCCTTGAAATCTTGACTGGAAGGTACACAGTGAACTTTGCAGCCCGCTTTTCAGGTGTCTGCCCTCTTGGTTGTCCGTCTACCACCTTGACTACAAATCTTAGCTTTTGCAGGAATCATGACCTGAATTCTGTAACCTGTTTGTCAGGAATTTTGACTAAAAGAAGTAGGAAGGGGTTGTAAGAATTGAAGAGTAGTTACATGGTTTTCAAGTTACGTAGTGTGATCTGCCATTTGGGTCTTCTTAGGCCACACCATGATAAGAAGCACAAGAAGAAGCAGACTTGGGCTGAAGCATGGCTCCAGTATTTGTTTCCACGAACACCATTCTTTCTTTTCATGTTAATGGGCTAACAGAGAGTACCTGCTTCAGGAGTGCAGTGAGATCTAAAGTCAACGATGTGTACAATAGGATAGTATGGAATGCAGGGTTTCTAATACCTCACAGTAGGAACTACATCAATGTGGAATGATTTAATTCACGTACACAATTCGGTGTAAAGTCAGTCAACAATAACAACTCACACATACCAAGGAAGGTCCCTACCTTTTTAGGTGTTGCTTTGCTTTGGGAATACCAGCCAGATCCTCTTTCAGTAGATACTTCTTAACCCCCAAAACGTAATTTTCAATGTATTCAAGCCAGTTCAACTGGCGCACATCAAAGTTGAATACCTGTGTAGCAAAAGATATTTGGGGCTTTGCACTGCCAAGCAGTCACCTTGTCCAATGTGGGTACCCAGAGCTCATCAATCTACACTCGCTGACCAGTGAGCCTCCAGAACCTACCAGTCTTAACCACCTCAGCAGTGGGTTGCCAAACATGCCACTTGGTTCAGCAGCAGTGAAGGTCTAATTACAATCCACAAACCAGTTCTTGCTTCACTAAACTTGTTTCCTGTGAATGCTGACATTGTCTGGTTTCCTTAGGGGAAAAAAATCATTTGCCTGTATACTCAGAACTTCCCCATCAACACTACTGGTCACACAATTGTGAGTTCCCAGAGTGCACTGTCCCTGGAGTCAGAGCCACACTTACTCTTTGATCTTCAGGACTCAGCTCTGACAGAAGCATTTCTGTGTTGTTTGTGCTCCATTCCCAACTGCGGTTGACGAAATACTCCAGCATGGAAATGGTTTTCAGGAGTCGGTTCATGAGCTTCGTCATCCTGAGGGAGAGACCAGATAGCTGGTGCAGTGCATCCTGCTCACTGCCTCTTCCTCCACAGGGAAGGGTGGCCCAGCACCATTAAGGAAGTGCAAGCCCTGGTGGGCTCATGCCAGCAATACCAGCACTGGGGAGACTGAGGCAGGAAGATGCATGAGATCAAGATCAGCCTAGGCTACTTACTGAGATCTAGTCCAGTAAAACAGTCTTAAAAAACAAAACAAGCAAACAAAAAAGATATAAAAGTGTATCCCTCTTTCCCCCATTTTCCCATAATTCTTTAGTTTCTGGGGCACACCCATTCTCAGCTAGTTAACAACAATAACAGTTTTTTATTTCTAAAATCAAGCTTTAATCTTTTGTAAAGTACACTTCTTTCCTGTGAGTGAGTATTAGCAATATATCTAACAAGTTGGTCATTCTCTCAATACTCCACTTGTGGTACTGAAGGGGTTTATAAACTTATGTGCAAGTTAGAATTATCATTTCTCCTCCCCGCTTTCCATCCTAATCTTTTAAATAATGGAAAGTGAATGAATCTAACAGTGTCTGTCAGACACTCTACAACCCCACACCCAAACACCCATCCCTTTCTCAGACACTTTAAAACTGAGCGAGTTATTTGCCTGAAAAGATTACTGTTTTGTTTCCATTTTGAGGCAGATGTTTAGAAAGCTAATTTCTTTTCAATTATATATTCTTAAATTTGAAAAACAAAAACAGGATCTCAGGTCTTAGTATATAAACTTTTGGCAGAGTGTTGACCATTAGCACTTGGTGAAGCAAAAGCTAGATGTAATTCATACTTAATGAAGACAGACTTAACGTTCATAATCTACTCTCTTAGACATAGCGCTGACACTTCCAGAAAATACTCTGCTGGTTTTCATAACAGCCTTACAGGTAGCTCTTTGTCCACATTTTTCAGAATATGGTTCATAAGCTTAAGAGGATCAGCATTCAACTCCCATGTAGTTCTGACCAACCCCAGAGAACCTCGCTGTTGCAGTCCCACTGCTCTATGTCCATTTCTTGCAATGGACTTTTCTAGCTCCATGCTCAGACCGTGAAACAGCTCTCCTCTAGAAACCTAGGACTGATGTAGTCAGAATTGATTCATATTAAATATACAGAAAGGTTGTGCTCAAGGTTAAGTAGAAAATGCTCCAGGTAGGTCTCTGAGCTGCAAGCGGTTAAACTCAGCTTGGTATCAGAGTATAGTTAATTCTCTTAAGACTTGTGATGCTCTAGGAATTTGGTCATATTCTTGGTTCAAGTTCCCACCAACTGTGAGACTCCTCACTGTTATCATGGGAAATTTCTTTTTTAAAGAAATTTTAAGTATTCGGAACAGTAGTTGTAAAATGACGACAACAACAACAGAACATGTTCCTCTTAGGCAGAAGCCTTTTTAGTGCGTAAGACACAGTCACAAAACCTGTAAAGAAAAACTAGAACTTATTTTATTCTGTAGATAATAGATAATGGTTACTACCTCCTTTTTGTAGAAGCGGAAGTTAGGGTTTAGAAGAAAAGTAAATGTATGGCTCATGACTAAATTAGTGAAGCCAAGATTTAAATCCTGGCTCCAAATTTGACAATGTCAGATCCTACTGTGTCAAACTGGTTTTATAAAAAGCCATGGAGATTATTGTGAGGCTAGTGATGGATGACCTAATGGGTAAAGAGGCTTGCTGCCAAGCATAACAATCTGGGTGCAATCCCCAGAATGCACAGGGTAGAACCAACCTCCCTTCAAGGTGCCTTCTGACCTCTGCTCCTGTGCAATGGTAGTATACACACAATAAATAAATGTGTCACAAAACAAAACACTACTCATTGTCCAATCCAGTGTGGTTTAATTTCTCCCAAACAAAACATATTGACTTTTCTTGACTTGTGTTTTTCTCTTATTTACCAAACCTTGCTTTGTCCAAGTGTTCCTAACCCTTCAACTTGACCTATTTTGATGGACTTAGAATATCTGCCTGTGTTTTCCTTCTTGTCCCTTCTGTATTGGGTAAAACTCACACAGACGTTTCCCACAGTCATAAATGCTTCCTTATGTGAGTGAGAAGCTAGATGGGCACATGGCCTCTGTGTTGCAATTGTTTCTTGTGCTAGTCCAGAGATGGCTGGATGTGCCAGAAGGCCCTCCCACCTCAGAAGGGGGCTGCTAAGGGACCAATCCTGTTCCTGTTCTGGTTGTTATCTCAGGAATTTCCTCCTGTTGAATGTGTTATGGAGGTAGCTGGAGATACACTTCTGTTCCTGGTGGGTGGTGACAGAGCTGGCTTAGCTTTGGCACCTCATCTCTCTGTTTCTTATCTCTAAGTATCAGAAAACCTAGTTTGTAGTAGTGGCTGTATTATCTTGCTGTTAATATGTAGGTTCTGCCTGCCCTTAGCTTCTCTTTCGATGGTGAAGGTGTTAGAATCGAGGCTTGAAGATGAAAATGGGATCATCATGAGACCTTGTACCAGGATGGCCACACAGGAAGCATTCAGTGTGTAAAGCTGCTGTTATTAGCATGTGTGTACCTGTGTGTGTGTGTGTGTGTGTGTGTGTGTGAGAGAGAGAGAGAGAGAGAGAGAGAGAGAGAGAGAGAGAGAGGAGAGAGAGAGAGAGATTTGTCTCCTGCGATCCTTAGCTGTAGTGAGGATTAAAGATTTTGGGTTCCATGCAGTGACACTGCGAAAACCATTGTCCCGGCTTCTCACCTGGGTTTCCTTCCAGTAAGCCTCAGATAGAAGTCATAGACGATGGCTGGCACCCGGTGGCTGACAGTGTTCCAATAATAGGTGGTGAAGTTGTTGGTGGTGAAGTCAGCGTTTGGCCTTCTGAAAGCACTCTCAAACGGAATCTTTTCTATGGTTGCTAAGACCTGTAATCCTGGAGCAAAAAGAGGAGGTGATAAGTCTGAGACATATAAGGTAAGTCCATTATAAGTGCAAGCTGTCTGCAGCTCAGAATGGCAGTGTTCACTGTATAGCATCAAGAGTCTGTTTCTAAGAACATGAAGATTTTTATGCCTGGCAAGTGAACATCTGCACAGTTAAGCAATATGACTGCACTCAGAATGTATCCTTTTTTGGTGAGGTAAGAGGTTGAGACAGGGTCTTACCTTGACAAAGAAGCAAATATATATATATATATCAAATGGAAAGAAGTTATCAGTTATTGTAATTTGATTATTGCCTTTTTGAAAATATATCATCAAGAATCAGACATGTAAAACATAGATAATCCTGGTTAGCTTTAACTCAAAGACAGTTAATTGAAAAGTTTTTTGGATTAGAGTGTCCTGTAGGCACGTCTCTAGGGGATTTTCTTGATTGTTAATTGATACAGGAGGCCCAGCCCACTGTGGACAGCACCATCCCTGGTATGGTGGTTTGAGTAAGAATGGCCCCATAGGCTCATATATTCGAATGCTTAGTCATTAGGGAGAAGTACTAATTGAGAAGGAATAGGAGTTGTGACCTTATTGGAGTAGGTATATCCTTGCTGGAGGAAGGAGTTGGGGGAAGGAGGGTGGTCTTCGAGGTTTCAAAAGCCCAAGCCAGGCTCAGTGCCTCTCCCTTCCTGTTGCCTGCAGAGCTTCATGTAGACTTCTCAGCTGCTCCTATTGACATGCCTCCATGCTTCCCAGCATGATGATAGTAGACTAAGCCTCTGAAGCTGTAAGCAAGTCCCAGTTAAATTACTTTCTTTGATAAGAGTTGCTGTGGCCATGGTGCCTCTTAACAGCAATAGAACAGTGACTAAGATACCTGGGCAGGTGGTTCTGAACTGTATAAAAAAAGTTAAGCCAAGTCTGTATGATGAGGCAGCATCCTTCTTCTGTGGTTTCTGTTGTGCTTTCATTGACTGTGAGTCAGAAGTAATGCTCTATGGAATAGCAAACAGGCCTGCATTCAAGTTTTGGCTTGAGCTCCTGCTCTGCCTTCTCAATGATGAACTGTAATCTGGATTGTAAACAAAATAAACCCCTTCTCCCTCTAAGTTGATTTTGGTCAGTGTGTTTTATCAAGGTAACACAAATGAAATCACAGCATGGAACTTAGAGGTACCTACACTTGAGAGAGCCAAACGCAGGAGATTTTGACATTAGTACCGACCTTATCATCTACGCATCTGCATATTTGCTCCACATTTTCATTTTGTTATGTAATAAACATTCACGTTTAAAAGCTCTAAAATTGATCTCTTGATATTCCCATGGCTAGCTGTCCTTTCCTGACACATTTCATAACACTTTCTATCTCTAGATGATAGTTGTCTTTTTCAGTAAGCCAGCCAGAACCTTTGGGATTATCTTGATCCTCCTCTTTTTTCAACAACTCTCCTAACAGTGCAAATGAGAATATTGGCCCTCCACTTGAAAAGAGTCCAGCATCACTGTTTGCTGTGTTGCAATGGTAGGAGCTGCCCCTCTTCCTTGTATTGGGATAGTGTCACCTCAGACTCTACTGTAGCTCTTGTCCCCCAGCAGTCTGCTCTCCATACAGCATCTAGGATGAAACTTTGAAAATGTTTCTCGGAATTTACCTTCTTATAGACTCCTCTGATGGACCCTCTTATTTGGAGGGAAGCCAAACCCTTAGTTCAGTTGTTAAGGCCTTGTAACATCTGTATCTTCTTACAAAGAAAGAAAATGCTCACCATGGAGACAGCCTTGCAGGATCTGCCTTCATCCTTACTCCTATGCCCATCATTCTGGGTTTATTTACTAGCATTTTCCCTTTGGTTGCTTCTGCGCTAGACAAAGTGGCTCTCCTGTCTTTGAATATGAATAAAGAGCGTTTGTACGATGGTTCCTTCAGCCTACAAGACATCCTCCAACTGTCTCCTGACAAGCCATCTCTTCCCACAGATCTCTGCTGAGATGTCACCTTACCAGAGCTATTTCCTTGGCCTTCACATGTGAAAGCATTCTTTTTACCCCACTCTATGTTTCTTCAAGCACTTAACCATGTATGATGTATAATTGTGCTTTTGTGCCTACTTAGATCTTGAGAAGTGACTGCCCAGGAGTTGGTGCTAAGTGAATACTTTTGGAATGAATGAATGAGTATTTCAGTAATGCACAATAACTTTCTATTTTCTAAGTCTATCTTGACTCTTAAGTTTTTTCACAGTGACTTCATGTCACCAAAACAATTTTTAGAGCATTTCAGATTTTCATGTGAAGAGGTGATTACTCTGTGATAGTTGAGCTGGGTATAAGATCAATATACTAGTCATTTTCATGTCTTCCCAGTAACCATTAGAAAATGTATTCTTTATAAAGATTCCATTAATTATTAACAAAATGTATGCATTTCCTAGATCCTATGTATAAATCTGATAATGCTTAATAACTATCTGGAAATAATTTTTTCTTGAAGGGCATTAACAGAGGTAACTAAATGGGGAGATGTTGCATGTTCACCCACTCAGCTGCCAATTATTCTGCATTGCCACTTAAAACTACAAATGTTCAGCCTATGGTGACATCGCTAGTGGTTCCAGTTAGAAGTATGTACATCACTTCTAATAGCCCTGTCATGAAGCATTTAATAAATGAGTTTCAAACTGAACAAATTTGAATTAGTGGGGAATGAAATAGTATCCTAATTTGTTGTATCGGGCTTCTTGTGTAGAGGCTTGGCGCTAGATGAAGGGCATGGCAAGCTAAGCTCATCTGCTGTGGTGTGAGGAGCTCAGAAGCATTTCTGTCAAGCATTTCTCATTCCTGAAAAGGCATTCCTCAAATTACAGACTATCATACAACAAGCCACAGTGGTTTGGCTGTTCTGCAGCCACTGTTCCCCAGATGGCACCACTGAAGCATGTAGAGAGAATTACTAACACAGGGAGGGAAAGTGTGTCACTGGGAACTCATGCCACATAGGTTAGCTGAACTCTAACTTTCTGGCATCATTAGGCATTTGAATTTGTTCCCATGGATTGTGGGTATTGAATAGATCTAGTTCTTTATGTTTAGACAATATGTGTTGGTTTGACTAAGAATGGCTCATCTATTTGAATGCTTTGCCGCCAGGGAATGGTACTATTTGAAAGGATTAGGAGAGGTGACATAATTGAAGTAGGTGTGGCCTTGTTGCAGTAACTGTGTCACTGGGGGTGGGCATTGAAGTTTCAAAGGCCCATGGCAGGCCCAGGCTCTCTCCCCCTGCTTCTCCCTCTCTCTGCCTGTGGGTCAGGATGTAGGTCTCTGCTATGTCTCAAGCACCATGCCTGGCACCATGCTTGATAATGGACAGAGCCTCTGTAATGTAAATGTAATGTAAGTGAGCCCCCAGTTAAAAGCTTAAAAAAAGAAGAAAAAAGAATTGCCTTGGTCATGGTGTCGTGACACAAAAGCAGTGACTAAGAAGTTGCTACCCAGGACAAGGTTATTGCTGTGACAGGGCTGACCATGATGTTTGTTGGAGGAACATGGAAGTCTTTTGAACTTTGTACTAGAAAAGTGATTGGACTCTTTAAATGTGGTTTAAATGGGTCATCATAGTAGAAGCATGAAAGGCAGTGCTGGGGGTGATTTGAACTGTTTGGGCTTAGCTCGAGAGGTTTCAGAGGGGAAGAAGTTAGTAAATAGCCTAGAGACCATTCTAGTGACATTTTGTTAAAGAATGTGGCTGCTTTCTTCCCTTGTCCTAAAATATTTGCCAGAAGCTAAATTGAAGAGTTTTTGGATTAATGGCATTGGCAGAGGCAATTTCAAGACAGCCCAGAATATTGACTGTGCCACATGGTTACTAGTGGTCTCTCTTGTGCAGATCAACAATGAAAAGGAGCCAGTGGGGCAAAGAGAAATATAAAGTGTACAGTTGGAAGAGAAAAGGATCACCAAGAAATGTAATGGGGCTAAATCCAGTGCAAAAGGAGAGGAAAGACTCAAGAAAAATCTAACATTAACAGGAGTAAAGAGAGTGGTGACCTCAGGGCAAGACCCCATCCAGCTAAACTTCCAACTTGTGAAAAGGAATTAAAAGCTTAAGCAAACATTGAAGGAAACCATGGAAAACAGAAAGCTGATGGAGAAGAAATTGAATGGTGGGGGGGGGCCTTGTCCCAGTCTCAACAAGTAGCAGAAGTCAGCCTCAGCCACACGGTTCTGACTTTAGAGTCAGGAATATAAAAATGAGGTCATGGAATATGTCAGTATCTAAGGAAAGCCATTGGGCCAAAACTGGAAGGGATGCACCTGCATAGAGGCCTGGAGAGGCCACTGTGTGAAGCTGTGAAGGGGAAGCCTGGATTGTATTGGAGACTCCATGATATTGGAGATGCCTGAGTCATGGGAAGCTACCAAAGAGAGCTGTATACTGAGTGTGGAACCAGCCCAAGGAAGGGAAGTGTATTGTAGTCAATATAGCTGAAAGGAGTTGGAGCTCTGAAGAGCAATTTTGACATCAGAGATGAAGATGGAGAATTTGGAGTTTGCCCTGTTGGGTTTTGGTCTTGCTTTGGTTCAGTATTTTCTTACTATGTTCCCCTTTCCTCCCCTTTAGAATGGTAATGTATATACTGTGTCATTGTATATTGAAAATATGTAATTTGCTTTTTTCATTTTGATTTTATAAGGGTGACAGTTAAAGAGGCTGTCATGAGTCTCAGAACAGACTTTGAACTTTGGACTTTTAAACAATGTTGAGACTGAAAGACTATGAGGACTTTTGAAATTGAACTAAATGTGTTTTTGCATTATGATATGACTAGAAGCTTATGGGGACCAGGGAGTGGAATGTGGTGGTTTGGATAAGAATGGCCCCATAGGTGTATATATTTGAATGATTCATCAGAAGTATCACCATTTGAAAGGATTAGAAGGATTATCAGGATGTGACTCTCAGCTACATTTCTAGCACCATGCCTGCCAATTCTGCTACGCTGTCCACCATGATGATAGTAGACTAAGCATCTGAAACTATAAGCAAGTTCCTAGTTAAATGCTTTCATTCATAAGAATTGCCTTGGTCATGGTGTCTGTTCACAGCAATAGGATAGTGACTTGGACACAGCCAGTAGAGTTTGTGTGGTGTGGGTTTGATAATCAGAGTCTCCTTGGCACTGGCTAAGGTTTTTGATCAAGGACTCTGGCTTTGTTTTTGTCTTCAACAGTAACTTATATTTTCTTTTATAAATTACTAGTGGAAAGGTTATTCACATGAAAGAGAGCCAGAAATCTGGTTTTACTCTTATTTCAGGGACCAACTGGCTTCCTTTATGAATCCAAGAAGCTCATTGACTCTCTGGGCCTCATGTAAGTTGAGAACTCTAGATTCTATTTAAGGTTCTTTTAACTGTAATCATCTCTTGTTCCATAAAATGAATGTTTTCAGGAAGAGAATTTTAAAAAATACCACATCCTCCGAACTCTTTTTTTAAAGATTCTATTTTTTAATTATGTGTATATATGTGTGTCTATGTGTAGGTAATTTTGTGTATATATGTGTGTCTTGTGTAGGTAAGTGCATTTGAGTAAAGGGCTTGCAGAGACCAGAAGGAGGCATCAGATCCTCTGGAGATGGAGTTAGAGGCAGTTGTGAGTCAACCAATGCGGGTGCTGGGAACCAAACTGGATCCTCTGCAAGCATATAGTACCTGCTCCTAACTGTGGGCCATCTCTCCTGTCCTGAGCTTACAATATCTCATTTGCTTATATTAATATCAATTTATGGGGCTGGTGAGATGGCTCAGTGGTTAAGAGCACTGACTGTTCCTCCAGAGGACCTGGGTTCAATTCCCAGCACCCACATGGCAGCTCACAGCTGTCTTTAAATCCAGTTCAAGAGAATCTGACATCATTATATCAATGTGCATGAAATAAAGTTAAATAAAGTTTTAAAAAATATCAATTTATATGGATGGGATCTTAGATATCTTCCATTATGGATGTCAAAACAGATTTCTTACTATTTTGAAATCAATTCTGATTTGGAAACGTGATCTAAATAACTGGGTGTGAAAAGAACTTGATCACAGAGAATTCAACTTTGCAAGTACAAATACCATAGTGTGTGTGCTCTAAGTGGGAATCAAAATAGCACAACAGCTAGAGAGTCAAAAATCTCAGACTTGAACAAGGAAACTAACTCCTGAGTCGACAAAGGCATGCATTATTGGTTGATTTGCTAGGCGGATCCCTAGATGAATGAGATGTTACCAAGAAAACACTTTTAGCATCAGAGGTACTGCACAGTTGGGGTAGGACAGGGGCCGGCAGCTGTGCAAATGGATGAACAACATACCGCTCCATTACAGGTGGGTTGTTGTGTGACCCTTCTGAAACAGTCACCGTGAACGAGGTGTGTGTATGGGGGAGTGCAGATCACCATCAGCATTGTTGATCTTTGCTTGGTTTCATTGTTGTTTCTAAAGTCTCCTCTAAGACTCTATTCTGTGTAATCATGCATGTTCTCATGGTCTACTTTTATCATTGTATGTTCTAGTTGACTATAACACATTTACAATCTATAGATATTTTTCTTTTTATGCTTGACTTTTATTATGACTCCCTCCCAAACTGTGTGTTCCTGGCTGCAAGACACACTTTTTCCCTGGTCAGTAGAGGTAGGTGTTCGCTTACATATTAAAGGCACTCACCCATTTCATGCCAGTTACAGGGATTGAGATTCCCAGATGTGGAATGGTAGATTAATGTTGATTTAGGTCTGGAAGATAAGAGGAAAGTAAAATAAATACAATCACATTGATAATTCATGAGAAATAAAGGAAAGTTAACACTGAGATAGGCATCAGAGTTCCTGTCGGTACTGCAATCCACACAGCACTCTCAGATTCTGTTCTTGCTTTGGATTGATAAGAAAAATGAAAAAGAAATAGAAAGTACACACATCAATATGTCAAATCGGTGTGACCTGTGGAACATGCATGCATGCCTGAGTTCACATGAGAAAAAGTTCATTCCTGTCATTTACTCCCAGAGCCATGATCACACCGTCTCCCAAGCCAATACTACTTCATGTCAGCAAATTTTCTGTCTTATCTCTTGGCATTTACCAGCAGCTAAACAGCAGTTCAACAAAAAAATATAAACTGTGCGGCCATTTCATCAACTAGGTTCTTATTTATTTTAAGGTACTGAATAGAAAGAAAAGCTTTTTGGTTATTCAAAGATTTCATGGTAAGTGGTTTAATAGCAAATTATTTTATGACCCGCCAAGTGTTAATCAGTATTCATACACCTTAGCCTATATAGGAAAGTCTATTGGGAATTCCGAGATACTGGAACAAGCATCCTATCACTCTGAAGGCCTGTAGAGTGAGAGTGTGGCTGCCATTGCTTTCTCCATCCCCTCTAAGAAGCTCGTGTAAGCCTGCTTACCTATGAACTGCCGTATACCATCCCACCGCTATGGTGAGATTGACCACTGTGTCCACTGGAATCAGGTCTGCCACTGCCGTGGGAGTAGCTCTTATGGACCGAAGAAATCCTTTCCCCGCCTGCTCAGGAGAGATGGAGCGTAGAATATAAGCCAGGTGTGAAGTCACAGTTGGGACTAGCCACTTTGTGTGGGAGTTGGACACTAGGCCCCTTCTTTTGCTGTAGGGATCCATAGGTGTGCGTGTGCATGCATGTGTGTGTGTGTGTGTGTGTGTGTGTGTGAGCACAAGCACGTGTGTGTGTCTAAACTACATCTTTGCCTACTAAAAATATAATGAGTGAGTGGAATTCGAGTCAGTGTGCTATTGTACTCTGTAATAAAACTGATTCTAGCCCACATTCAAATGATTTTTATTCCCATCTAAACTATCCTGGGGAAAGGAATGAAAGCAGCTAGGGGACAGGAAGAGGCTGGAAAGGCAGAAGTAAGACAATACATACACACCAGCTTGTGTGTTTTAATGTCAAGCATTCTATAATCTGTCAGTTCTTTTTTTTTTTTTTGAGACAGGGTTTCATGTAGCACAGGCTGGCCTTGAAGTTCTGATCCATCTGCCTCTCTGAGGTCTGGGATTACAGGTGTGAGCTGCCACACACACTCAGTGCTGGGGGTGATATTCAGGGTTTTAAGTATGCTAGACCAAGCACCCTACCTACTGAGCCACAGAAGGCTAATATTTTTTTCTGTATACATGATTGACCAATGGTTCAAGCCATTAATAAAGCAATGAAAAGAAAATAGTTTCACCTTGTGGTAACCAAAGAAAATTTTTCAGTGTGCAGACATTTCCAAAGTAAAGTTCTGGAATAGCAACTGAGCATGTCAGTCGCCTCTGTCCTGATGGTCAAAGCAACTTCCTGCTGCTTTCATCTTCCCACTAGTAACTCTAGATAAGCTACTTCCTTTATCACTACACAAGGTGGATACCAAGGTCTCTGTTACGCCCTCCATTTCAAGGCGGTTATTTTCTCATCTTTGTACATACCGCAATAATGAGTCCACTGGGTCCGTTTACATTGTCAACCCAACCCTGGAAAGAAAGATCTCTGTTGGTTACACATTTCAGAAAACTGTTACCCTTGGACAGCCCAGTCTGTGTGGGGCAGGGTGAATGGGTGCGCACATGTGTGTCCGTGTGCACACCCGCACATCCATTTATAATACTAACCAATTGGTCATAAAGAATGTACGAGAAGAGAAGGAAAATGGAAGACTGGGAGAAGGAATGAAGGGATAAGTGAAAGCAGGAGGAAGAGAAGGGCAATCAGAAAGACGTGGTTTCTAAGGCACCCGGACTGAAGCAAAGCAGAAGTGTGCTCACCGGGAAAGGCTCCTGCCAGGTTGCTCCCACTATGGACGGCCTGACGATGGCCACATTCAGGTTTCCACTTTCTTGCTGTACCACTATCTCCCCCAAGGCTTTGGTGTAGGTGTACGTATTGGGCCGGTCCCCAATCAGCTTGGGAGTGATCTCCTCAATGATAGAGTCATCTAACCATCTAAAGGCAGAGGGGAAAAAAAATCTAGCAACATCCACAGCACAAGAGAGCAATAAGAAACACAGCCAATCAAACAAAACTTCCACCTTCTGACTTGACTCTTGGAGACCATCATCTCAGGGTTGCAAGGACAAGTATATATGTTCAAATCATTCCTTTTCCTTGTATCTTAGTAAGTCTGCTCCTCTCCCCCTTATTTTCACAGATATGCAACTCACTGTTTCACAGGTCACTCCTGTCTAATTTACTCCTACAGTCTCATTAGTGTGTCCACTAAACACATGTATGAGTGCCAAACCATGTCCCACAACAAGCCAGTACTGTACTCCCCAGCTCAGGGGGTCCTCCTCCAAGGATCATTCAGGATACTCCACTGAAGTCTTGTGCCAGTCTTAAACCTGCAGTTCTTAGTTTTTAAAATTCCACTGTCTCCATAAAGCGGCTACATTTGGCAGACACAATTCTCACATTTTCTGAGGATTTGTTTAGAATATACGCTAATGACTTTGTGACTGCTGAGGGTTTTGCAGTGACTCTGGCGTGGATGAGTCCAGAGTTCTGAGGAAGCACCAATCGCACAGCTACTGGATAGCTCCACTTGGAGGTGACAGGCATCACCAGAGCATCCTCCTAACTGAAAACAGTCTAGAAAAATTGTAATAATTCCATGTTTACTGACACTTCCCTAAGAGCAGCATTATTGTCCCTTAAACATTCTGTCCTGGGCAGAACTGCGGAGGGAGCTTCCTGCTTCCCAGAATACTCCTGTTCTGATCGCCCTGCCTCTACTTCCTGTCTGGTTGACCCACCTATACTTCCTGCCTGGCTAATCGGTGTTTATTTAAAGCATGATTGACTGAATACAGACAATTCTTCTGTACCAATTGTTTTTAAAATATTTAAAATTATATTTTTCTTGCGTGTGTAATGGGGGGAGTGTGCATTTGCCAGTTCATTTCCTCTGTTATGTGCATCCTGGGGACTGAACTCAAGTCATCAGACTAGGTGGTGGGTGCTTTTATCCAGAGTCATCTTGCCAGTCCTGCTCCTACAGTCCTTAACCAACATGTTTAGTGTGAGTGTTCTTATTTTATAGGAGGAAGCCTAACTGCACAATTCTGACTATAGAAAACATTAGCAGGTACCCTTCCACATTTAGGACAAATTGTTAAACACTGCATCTGATGATAATATGTATTCAGTCAGGACTGCGTTTTAACCCCTCTCATTGACAGCAGGGTAGACTACAGAGGCTGGCCATAATGGTCCCATTTTCCTTCCTTTTCTTCTGTTAGTACTGAATATAACCTGGACACCCAAACGCCATTGGGTTGAATGTGGAAAGGTAGAGAAATCTCTAGAACTGAAACAACTCCAAGCACACAGAGAAATAGAAGGCATTAAATTATATGACGGCAGGAGATGTCTCAGCATATGAAGTCCTTGTCATGCAAGTGTTCAGTAGTAGAGTTTAGATCCCAAGAACCCTCACAAGCCAATTTAGTGGCCTCTCTATAATACCAGCACTGGGGAGGCAGAGACAGGCTCCCGGGAACATAGTGTCCTGCTAGACTAATCCTATCAGCAAGCTCCAAGTCAGTCAAGAGACTTCACCGTGCTGTATACTATGGAAGTTATTGAGAAAGGTAGATATTTGGCATCAACTTTGAGCCTCCTTAGGCACCCACATGTGTGTACGTGCATCTCTGTGCTCACATATGTTAACATGCATACATGTACATCATACACACATACACATGCCAAAAAGAATTAAGTGACCAAATGGGAATTGGAAGAGTGATAGATAAGGCAGGACCTGCCCCCTTGATTCCACTTGTTATCCAAAGGGAACTGGTATAAATATCACCTATGTATATCCTCATGTGTACTTTAAACCATCTTGATTAGCTATAACACGGAGCATAATGTAAGCACAGCATGGGTGTTTGTTGTACCGTGTGGAGTAACGACCAAAAGCCCTTTGCGGCTCAGTACAAGCACAGATATTCAAATTAGCAGGGGATTGGTTGAGAAGTCACAGATGCGGAGGGTAGCTGCATGGGTCTCACTTCTTCTCCTTTGTAGGCAGGTTGTGAACTGACCAACCTAAGACTGCTTTCCTACACCAATACAAATTACAGAAACCAAGTCTAGTTTCCGCAAGGCTACAAGGAAAAACAATTTCAGGGGAACCTAGAACCCACAGGGAGTCGATACCACACCACAAGGAATGGCTGCTCACTACGAAGGGTTATAGCTGAGCCCTCTACAAAGTGGGGAAACTGAGCTTGTCTTAGAGAACGTTGGCTCTGTAGATTCCTATGGATGTGCGTGGGAAAGCTTACTGCATGTGTCCCATGCCTCAGTTTCTTCTGTGGACCCATGTATTCTGTTCTTGCTCCCTCCATTTTCACTCAGGAAAGATGACTGATTTTATCTGTTCTAATTCTTGGGTGATAAGGACCTATAAATGAACCAATGAAGCAGAACTCTCTTTTCTTCTTCCCCACCCCTTAGCTGCTTTTATTCTCAGTGCTAGGGATTAAACCCAGGGCTTTGCACATACTCCATTCCCAGGACAGTGATGGCATTCTGTTCTAATAAAGCTGATTTTAAAGTAACTTTCTTCTTCTGCCCCTCTCACCATTTCCTGTCCCGTCTAGTCCCTTCCTGGATTCAGAGGGGAGGGCAGTGTGACAAAGACCCATCTTCTGCTGCCTGTGGTCCCTCTCCAGTGCTCAGTTACTGCTTTCTGTTCTTCTCTTTCCCATCAGTTCTTCAAAATTGTAACTCAGCATGTTAAAAAAAAAAGACACTGCATGAATCAGCATACATTTCTGAAATCAACTAGATGTTCTGCAGTATATCAAGGACATGTGTTGAACCTACACATCCCCTGCTCCCAAATTTGACTTCACTTTCTTTCCATGACTCTCCAACTTTAAAATTCTGCTTAAGTTGCTTTTAAAGAAGCATAAAGTGATTGGAGACCTTAGCAGTAGGTGTATGTCTGATGCAGTTACACACAGCACAGGCTCGTCTAACTTACTTTCCTTTTTTAATATTATGGTATTAATAGCTTCTTGTTTATATGGTTGTTGAGTGAAATGAGGGGTATGTATCCCCCCAAGTTTATCTTCTGAAAGACGGAGCTACAGGCATTTCGGGGAAGCTTTCTGGGAGAGAATGGCAGGAATTCTACAGTGACTTTTTCTCCTCTTGTCCACTCAGGTTGTGTTTGTTGCAGTCACCATGCCTATGTGTTTGATATGTGTCTGATGCTCTCTGAACAGTGGTTCAGAGAGCAGGGATTCCATTTCATTATTCACGTGTCTCATCACCCTTTTGTCCTGGAAATCCTGTTTCCTTATGTGCCACCATGTCCTCAGGAGGAGTCAGTTTCTACACCATGTAAGGTTTAGGGAAGCAGGTGGACTCAGAAGGAAAGGAGTGCTTTTATACAGAAGGAAGTAAAATTGTGAAAATATTGGTTCCATTGCTGGAGTGCAGAAGGCAGTCCCCCTCAGTTTGGGGGCATTTGTTTCACAGTGAATTTAAGCATTCCAGCGGGGAAGGAATTTCCTCCTTGTCCCCAATATTGACTGTAAGTTATGGACTTCTAAGATATACCCGCCAGATCTCCGGACATATTGAAGACAAGACGGCAAACTGACCCCTTCTCTGGGAGGGAAGCTCTTCCTTTTTAGCCTTGGAGTATTGAGCATCTGCATCTGCATAGAGTCTGGAAGGAGGAGGTGGCACAAGGAGCCCTTCACTGTGGTGAGCTGAGCACTATTTCCCCTGTCTCTGGTGAACTCTCAGAGGTTTCCTAGTGCATAGTCCCCTCTCAGATATCAGAAGGGGGGACAGTGGATGAGACCTTGGGATTTCAGTTCTGGTTCTTGAATCAAGCAGGTGGGCTCTCTTCTTGAGAACCACAGTTAGGGAGGAGGTACCTCTGCGAGAGGGAAGCTTAGTGACAAACTTTAATTCCATATTGAACATGCTTTTTGGGCTTTCTATAGATGTATCTGAATTGACTTGGGCATCAAACTGCATGTGTCTTCTCTGCAACTCTCCAGAGGAACCATTAACTTGAAATGCTGTTTGCTTGTGCCAGTTCCTCTGTATACAGAGACTGCTTGTTTGTTTCTCTGGCTCTCAGACCCAAATAATCACACAGAAACTATACTAATTACAACATTGTTTGGTCTACTAGCTCCGGCTTATTAACTAACTCTTACATCTTAAATTAACCCATTTCTATTAATCTGTGTATTGGCACTAGGCTGTGACTTACTGGGAAGTGTCCAGCATTTGTCTCCTTCGGCAGCTACGTGGCGTCTCTCTGCCACTGCCTACTCTTTCTCTCTTTCTCTCTATCTCTATCTCTATCTATCTATCTATCATCTATCTATCATCTATCTATCTATCTATCTATCTATCTATCTATCTATCTATCTATC